CTGCCTGACTGAACTTGCATTTTTTTTTTGTTTAGTTGAATATTCTGGATAAAGTCTGTTTGCGTGATTTGATTGCGGCAAAATATAAAAAGTCAGACTCAGACCACATATATCTTCTGCAGAGCAGAGCCAAGCCCTGGGGGTTCAGACAGCACCAGTGGGCCTGCTGCAGCCTGTTTGCTATGGTCATTGATTTCATACCCTTAGTACCTCTTTAATAGGGCCCCACTCAGTTTGGCTGCTGGTGTCATATCAGTGTGTCTGCTGTATTTCTGTTTCTCTCCTTTTTCTAGGGAACAACAAAAGAAAAAAAAACAGTCCATGCCAGAAAATTTCTGAAATCAGCTGTCAGTCTGTAGAGAGAGATGTCAGGTGTCAATCTGAAGATCTCTCTCTCTCTCTCTCTCTCTCTGTGTGTGTGTGTGTGTGTGTGTGTGTGTGTGTGTTTGTACTTGCTACAGAGTGAGGAGTTGGGGTGTGTGTGTGTGTGTGTGTGTGTGTGTGTGTGTGTGTGTGTATGAGAGAGAGAGACCATAGCCCCTGAAGTATTTCCTGTCTGCGTAATTTGTTGACTGTCAAATAAGAACAAAATGCTCTCCCCCAAAATAAAGCTGGCTTCTAAAGCCACAAAGACAAGTCATGTTTGTTTAGGCCTATTGTACAATGCAAGAGAGGGCTCATAGCATGCAATCAAATTAAGAAAATACCTTCACCACTAGGGAAAAAATCCTGCAATTAATTAAATACAAAACAAAGCAAATTAAGAATGTTAGAAATTAACCCAGTTCTTTTGTTGAGGACTGTTTAAAATCATCAGAAAGTTTACTGAAAGTCTGATCACAGGAAAGTCTTTACAACGCTGGATTCAGAAAGATAGAGCTCCCGCAGGAAAACCAACTTCTGAATTCCGAATTAAGTTCTTACAATACATTTTATCTTCTTGGGCTGCTCTGCCCTGGACAGGGGTGCAACCTTCAACAGCTTTTTGATCCTATTGTCCATTTGGTGTGAACCGGAGCTCCCCCTTGTTAGAGTGTGGTAAAGTCTAGGTATGTATATGTGTGTGTGTGTGCGCACGCGCGTCTCTCAAGTGGTACCTCCCCCCCAGCTAGCAGGGTTCTGTTAAAATGTAAATACACTATCTGGTCACAAAGAGATGCAGATATCTAGTCTCTACAGAAGTTACAGCATTCAAAGTGTTAGGTAATTTCTTAGTCAGATAGATATTGATTAGATATTTGTTGTATTAGTTTAGTGGAGACAGGCTGTCTATGCTCAGGCTGTTAAATGCTTAGTTCATTGTCATGAGTTCTGCAGGCTGCA